TGCCAGAAGCACATGACTTAGGCCTGCAAACTACCTCAAATAGATGTTTATGTATTCTGGCCGTGTTGAAATATACATTCCGAGACAATGATGAAACCCGCATCCGTCCTGTGCTTCTGCCGTGGTTGCTGGTGCAGAAGCTCCTCCATTGCCTTGCCGGTGTACCTGCGTGTCCCAGGCAAGTAGGTCCTTGAAGCTCTGAAACACATGTGCGACAGTGAATTAAGTGGTGCAAATAATCGAAGTATAAAGGGTTTGGAAATTGAACTGAAGGGTCTATTGTTGTGTTTTTGTTCATCTGTCAACCCGATGACATAGGCTCTGTGGTGCGCCTCTGCTGAATTTCCACCATTTGCCTGCCACTGTTTCAGTAGGCCCCACACCCATGAGCTAAGGATTGATTCATGACTCATATATATATATATATACAAATTTGTTTTTGGATACTTCAAACCAGCATGCCTGCTGAAAGGAGAAGGGCATCCGTCTTCGTGTCGACCGACAGCTGCGCTCATGCCCCGCAGCACGAGCCTCCTGAAAGGTTTGCGCAAACCAGAAAATGATTGGGCCACATGACATAGGACTACCGACGAAGTAGCATTGAAGTACCGACGGTTGCACTACCGACGACATAGGATTACCGACTACCACATGACATAGGATTGAGTATATATCAGTAGCTCTGCAGTCCTCCGGAACTTGTTCCTCACTTGTAGGCCTTTGCACCCCAGCATGGCCCTCCTGAAATGCAAAATCACATCGCGTAGAAATCGAGGTTCAAACATTGTATAATATATGCATAATTACAACTTGTAATATATATATATAAGTGTCCTCGATTGCTTCCGGAACATGCTGATCAGGTGGATCCTGTCACACTGCTCAAGCACATCCACTGTGCTGGTTCAAATCAAATGATGATACGCAGTCCTCCATCTCCCAAAGATAGCTCCACCAAGCCAGCTTCACAAACAGCCAAAACGGCTACATGACACAGGCCAGATATCTGTCGTGGAACCAACAGCTGTCCTATGTCATCTACGACTTGCCACATGCTATTTGGCTGACATAGTCCTATGTCATATGTGGTTTAATGTCCAAAACCTCTGGAAATCCAGAAATTCTAAAAAAATATGAGACAACATAATTGTTCATGCCAGGGCCCTTTTCGCACGTTTTGGCCTCATGACATAGGGTTTGTGGCATGTAGTACCTTTCCACATGACATAGGTTTCTGAAATTCGACTATACTTTCACAAGCCCTATGTCATTGGCCCCTAGTATATATACTTATAGTCAGACAATAGACACTTATACATATACATTTAACGTGTATATATTATAACTGTTTCCTATATATAATGTATATATCCGTCGGCCTAAAGATCACGCAGATCCGTACATGTTCCATGGAAGCCGCAGATCCGCGACACGGATCACGCAGATCCATGTATGCTGTCAGGATCCCGTAGATCCTCTCAGGGTCCCGCAGACCCATGCGTGGGGCAGGATCTCGCAGATCTCACCACAGAGAGAGTCTCCGAGTCCGGATCACGCAGATCCTTGATGTGGGATCACGCAGATCCCACGCTGCCACCGTGTGGCGGGATCTCGCGGAACCCATGTGCTCCTTCTGACATCTCGCGGATCCCATCTGTCCGCCAGAGGATCACGCAGATCCCTCCTTCTGGTGAGATCTCGCGGATCTCATCTGTCCGCCGGAGGGATCACGCAGATCCCTCCTCCTGGTAAGATCTCGCGGATCTCATGTGTCCGCCGGAGGAATCACGCAGTGTGTCCGGGGGAGAGATCACGCAGATCCCTCCACAACAGAGATCTCGTAGATCTCCCTCCGTCGAGAAATGATCACGCAGATCTTTTCAAGCCCGGAGCAGATGTCTCGGATGCTTATACTGGGATGAACCGTGGGTTTATAAAGGTTAGTAGGCTGTATAAGTGCATTTATAACATACTTATATATATGGTATAAGTATGGTATAACATGGTATACTATAGTATAACTTCTATAACACTTAGCAACTTAAAATCATAAGTCCTAGAAACTTTACAACCACTTAACATCATTTATGTTTAGTTTTATAACCATTTAGCATAGTTATAAGTAGTTAGTCTGATTTGTTTATAACTGGTTATGAGTAGTTATCTAAATACCTACGTACACATAATTTCTTTTTTTCAAACATAAATGAGTGCTAGTGCAACCAACATAGAAATAAAACACACAAATATTTGTATGCAGCAAGTGATGACAGGGATTGATGATGTGGATGTTTTTATTTCATATAGACTGTTTTTTGTTTTTGTGAGGGTTTATGTTTCTTTTAATTAACAAGGATGGGCTTTGTCATATTGGGTTGCAGGTCCATGATGGTGTGGTGTTAAACTTTTTGTGTCATGTTCAAGCTGATTGGCTGTCATGAGTGCATACAGAATATTGTTCATGTAGTTATACCAATCTAGAACTTTGGCGCGCTTACAGGCCAGCATGTTGTCTTGCCATGCATGCTCCACAACGCAT